ATAATTTTTAATTGTGTTAAGCAAAACGTCTTTGCCAGTTTACAGGATACAAGGGGTTGCTTATTCAGAGTCGTCTCATATTTCCTACTTAATATATATTCTTAATTGAAAAATATAGGTAACGTACATTTCTTTCTTATCTCTACGATTGAAAATGTATTTCATTCCGTAAACATATTTATAAAAGTTGCTCAAATTGTTCAATTTCATGTTACACTATCTAAGTAGGAGTAATTAATCCTTTGAAATTTAAAATTTAGCCCATCAATAAATAAAGGAGAACAAAACTATCAGGTGTATAATCTTTGTGTTTGCTTGTAATGTGGTTGAAATAGAATTAAGCGACAGGGACATTGCACAATAAAAATTATTTCTTATCACAAAGAAAATGTATTTATTGTTATGCAAAAGAAATATATATCATACAAGGTTTAACTTATCAGAAAACTATATATTACACAGAGGGGATTCAGCATAATATTTGCCTCGGCGACAGTAACGTACATTTCAAATAGGCTACTATATTTGAATTTGGAACTTCTTAAATACACTTTCAGATCGATAATTATATGAATTCTTATTCATTGTTATATGATTATTTATAATGTTGATTTAAAAATTACATCAGTGGTATTTCTTCTAAATGAAAATGAGGCGACATTATTTGAGCCCTTATATTGAGAATGCGTGTAGGGTAAAGATTAAATACTAGTAGATAAAAACTCACTCGCTACTACGTGCATATGCATAGTAATAAATACTTGTACATGAAACACTGATTAGTATGCACATGATGAAGGTAGACAAAATATCTTTTTTAAGAGATTACAGTAAAGCGTTGAATGATATTTAAATCTTAATATCAGTGAAGTATTTGAAAATGCCCTGAAACACTCAAATATTCTTATCCGATGTGATATAGATTTAGTGTTAATAAACCAAATCTTTCTCAAAATCACACTTACGCTGAACATAGTTGCAAACCACGACCAAAATCTACGATCCTATCTATTAGTATTCTGGCCGTGGTTGCACGTGATAAAACAGCCACGGGAGAGCTACGAGCCGACTCTGGACCGTGGCTGAAACGATGCCCGCTTAAAGCGTCCTATAAATCCAATAAAATGTGACGTCCAACGCTTATGATCTCCATATTTCCTTGGTCAGTATACCTTTTTAGAAAAAGAAATGTAAGAAACACAGTTTACAATAGCCTTTAAAGCCCTCTTGATTAAACACAAGAATATAAAAGAAGGACATTGATAATGATGATTGTTTTGCAAAAACTGTTCACACTATTGTCTTAATCACTTTCGTGCAAAATATATAATTTTTAAAAATCCAGTGAAAGTCTCAAGTGCATAATATTAATTAATTTCTTCAAAATACAGAGGATTTGTAAAAATAAAACCTCTCCGGATAATATGCAAAAAGATTATTTTAATCCCTGTTCTGTAAATTAGCATACAAAAGGAATTAACTCTGTGCAATGAATTCTGGCGTCCCAGAATGATAAATTGAATCTGACAACAATCTACAGAATCAATTTTCGAGCGTGCGAAGCGCTAATTCTCAAATTAATTTAATTTACGCGTCGTAATATGTAATATAATTAATCATTTAGCAGAAACTTTATCAGACAAACGTGGGTTAACATGTCTCCTCCAGCAGAACGTTGTCTGTCCGTCTGTCTGTCTATCTGTTGGTCATAAAATCGAAACAATATGCACGTTAAAAAACTATAACATGCAATTTCTCATGATCGACGGATGCGTCTGACAGTCATGATTTCGACTAAAGATCATGGTTTAAAAAATTCACAAATGTGTTTGGCTGTCATTGGACATCGAAGTTCTGAAATAGAGTCACAGCCTGTGATCTAATAGTTGGAAGCCTAGACGAGAGTATATATATTGATGATGTTTAAAGGTCTTGAATTCTGTCGCCATTGGGGCAGTAAGATTGCTTGGGTAATTGCTCATTTATAAGAATGAGACTAAGTCTGAATAACACTTGGCATAATTTGCTGATGTTGTGAGGTGTGCCATGACCTTGACTCAAGTCCATGATCTAGAGGTCAAGGTTATGCACTGATAGAGAAATATGTATTGGGTTTCATACGAGAAAAGGGGGTTATTCGTTTGTATTTTTCACTCATGCTTCATTTCAGCGATATAATTTACATTTTTGGTTATTAATTTGAATCCTCAAGTTATTCATTAAAAGAAATATTTATTTCATTTGTCTCACAAAAGAATCTTAATCAGGAGATCCATCATAAACATTTATACGTGTTGCAATAAACGTTAATGTAGTAGCAATTGTTTCCAGGATAAAGGAACTGTATTGACCTTATGATTATAAGAAAATACGAACCATGGAAAGTTTTCATTTCACAACAATAGCATTAAACACGAACAATCTAGATTCACAAAAGGACATAACATGATGCAAAAATCTTAGAGCTTCCTTATGCCAAAGTTGGGTCTATTTACAATTGAACGTAAAATCATTGATATTCTCACTCATTAAAAAGATGACAATACCAAGCCATATTTCCTCCGGGAGTGTTCATATCAAGATTATCAGGGAAAAAATGAGAAAAGAGGAAAGCACTGAGGAGGCGAGCGACTGCATGCATAGTTCCGGCATTTGCAAAGTTAATTCAGTGCAAGACTACCCGAGCTTACTTTTCACAGGGAGTTGAGCGAAATGCACCGAGAATTCTTTGACAAACAAGTGATTATCTATAATGTAGATGAAGTTCATTATGTTGCGGTGCCTTACTGAAAATGATGATAAGCAGTTGTTTATTAATCAAGTATTCATATTGATTAATATTTCTGTTTTTTTCTGATACACTTAAAAACACTTTAATTTTCCACCAGACTGTTCCTTTTTTTTCCTTGTTTCTCACGGGAAATGTTTCATATTTGTAGTGATTTAAGGCCAATTTGAAAACTAAGAGACAACAGAATTGAAAATAATATTGATTTTTACCCATACATGAAGGGCTGTATAGAACTGTTATTGGTGTACTGGACGGATACCTTTGAGTTAATTTCCTTTTCTTCTTTTAACAAATTTATTTTGACCTTAACTAATAAAGTTCTAAGATTTTGTTTCCCTTGTTTCAGAAGAACCAGAACTAAATGAATTGGTTTTGTCCGAAGACAAGGAGGCAGCGTCCGTGGAATCGTACAATAAACTCTTTTCATGGTTAATCCAAATGTCGGAGACAGATGACGAAACTGCGGACAAATCACCAAAATATAAACCGGGGGACAATAGGAAAAATCAGAGCTGGCGGCAACTTTTAAATCAGAATTCTGGGTCTTTCGACTCTCATTGCAGTTCGGAACATCCCTACTGGGGTGGAATGTTCATATCGTCTGCTTCTGAGGAAATACCTGAAGAAGATGACAGCGACATGCCTTCAAAGCAAAGTAGTTTCGATATCGACTCGTATCCGGACCGCCCGCCCAGGGACTACCAGGAAACCACGTTACGAGTTCCGGTCCGCCGGGGAACTCTGGTCAAACAAAAATCAGTTTGTGACTCGCAATACAGCGAAAGTGACTATGCCGAAACTCGATTTGATGTTCCTCAGATTCAAATTGAAGAAAGCGACAACGTTAATGTTGCTCCCAAAACGAGGGAACTAAATTTACTTCGAGCAAGGCTTCAAGATATTCAGAACAAGAAATCTAGACAGAGGAATGATTTGATCAAACAGAAATCTGAATCTTGTGTGGATCGAATCTACCGCCATGACCAAACATTTCTAAAAAGACGCAGAAAAGCAGCAGCTTCCTGTGACAATATTAACAAACGAGTTCTGAAAGTGCCAAGTATTCAAACGCAAGCCAGCGAAGATGACGTCACGTACTCTTTCATTGAAGCAGACGACCAGAAAAACGTGGAGACAATTCCTCTCCAAGAAATGGTTGAGGAAGAAGATACAGTTGATGCCGATCTGACTAGTGTTAAAAACAGGAAAAATGGCTTCAGGGAAAGGGTATCAGAATTCTGGAGTAAAAGTGTCGGTAGTATGATTGGTAAAGGCACTCGTACTAGGCCGAAATTAACTCGCAAGAGTAATAGTCTTTTTACTGTGCAACCAAGTATAGATACCCAAATTATGAAAGATGACGTTAAGAAAAACTTTTATTCGGAGAAAATTTTAGATGATAAATTGTTGGATGCAAATATTGCCGACATTTTGTTTGCAGTTGATGCAATTTGGCCCAAGGCGTAATCGTTTTGATTCACCAAACAAAAAAAAAGTTGCCACGGTTGCTGTAATAGATAGCATACAGAATTCGACTAAGTATTTTTTAATACTGTCTTTTTAAGGTTATTTGTTGTTTGAACTACAAGTAAATGTATGAATATAATTCCACATGAACGACGGAACATACAATTCAGTTCAAAATTTATTTATTTATTACTGTAAATTGTTCTTGATAATACAATAAAGTACATGTATATTTAGTTATAAGATACAAGTCCGTCGTCTCCTGCATTTTGATGTCATTGTCGACTAATGCGTTGCACAATGGTTAAAGCGTTTTCTTTAGAGTCGCGGCGATCATTAAACAGTTAAAGGCAACCATTGATTTCTCTGCTACAAAAGAACCCAAAGAAAAAAAATTTCATGATCTAACGTTAAGAATTTAAGAATTTCTTTTATAATTAACAATTAGAACATACAATTATCTCCGCGTGTTGCAGTGCTTAAAGCCTTTGCTCTAGAGTCGCGGCATAAGAAGTCAAAGAAAAGTTTTATTTTTATGCCCCCGTAAACGAAGTTTCGGGGGTATATAGTTTTTGTCGTGTCCGTCTGTCTGTCTCTCTGTCTGTCTGTTTGTCTGTTTGTCCGCAAAAACTTTAACCTTGCCCATAACTTTTGATTAGGTTGCACCATGACTTTCATATTTCACATGTGTATTCCTTGTGACAAGCCCTTTCTTTGGGTACCACCAAATTTGACCTTTTGACCTTGACCTTGGAGTTTGACCCACTTTTACATGAAAATTTTAAACTTTTACTTTGGCCATATCTTTCGAACAGTAGATACCAGGACATTAATACTTCACATATGTATTCTTTGTTAAAAGACCTTTCATTGGATACCAACAACCTTGACCTTTTGACCTTGACCTTGTAGATTTCCGCACCTGTGAAAAAACTTTAACCTTGGCCATAACTTTTGAATGGAAAGGGATAGGGCTTTCATACTTCAAATATTTGATCCTTGTGAGAAGACCCTCTATTGGATACCAAGAACTTTGACCCTTTGACCTTGTTCTATGAGTTTGACCTACTTTAAAGAAGCAAAAATTGACCATAACATTTAAAGGATTAGGGCTAGTGCTTTCATACTTTACATATTTTTTTCTTGTGACAAGACCTTTCATTTGATACAAGAACTTTGACCCTTTGACCTTGACCTTGGAGTTTGAACTACTTAAATAAAAATAGCCTTGGCCATAACTTCTGAACGGATAGGGTTAGGGCTTCCATACTCTACATAAGTATTCTATGTGGCAAGACCTTTCATTGTATACCAATTACCTTGACCTTTTGACTTTGACCTTGGTGATTTTTGTACTTATTGAAAAAACTCTAACATTGGCCTACTTTCAAATTTCACAATTGTTTCCAGTGAGAATACCCTACTTTTGGTACCAATTAATTAAATTTGCATTAAGAAAAGTTTAATCTTCGCTATGTTGCCATACGGGGGCATCAGTGTTTAACAAACACATCTTGTTTATTTTATATAAGGCAATAGTCTCTGGTTTCTATTACGTACAGTAGAAACGTCAGCTTATGGGTCTTTTTTTTCAAACTCTGATTATCTTAATTACCAAATTAAATCTGCTGATAAAACTTCTTTAAAAGAGGGAAAATATTTCACCAAATTAAAGGTCATTTCCAGAAATGTTAAAAAAAGAAAGAAGTTGCTAGATGGTACGAAAGCCAATGAGCTTGTTTTCTTTACAAAGTTTTGTATTTATTCTCGAAAGTAACGCGTTAACTTATAACGCTTTCCGCGAATATGTGTAACTTTCGCATATAACGCGTAACTTTTAAAACATAAGGTGTAACTTTGAAATGTCTATCGGGATATATAAACGGGTTGGTCACGAGATCGAATTTCGAATAGCCCAAAGGGCGAAAGTTTCGCGTTATAACGCAAGAAATTTATTTTTTTAACCTACGAAAATAAGCTCAGTGGGCTTTCATAGGTAGGTGCATCAAACAGATGATTAAATGAGCACAAAGCTGTATTGTAGAGGTAAAGCCGATTACTAGTCATGACAGCAGTAACAGAATTCCATCTAATGTAATTACAAAAGCTTTCTTTGAGAAAAAAAATACATTTTGTTAATAACTATTATATGCTCTGTTTAATAATCGTGTATGTAATATGTATGGCACGCCAAATTCACAAAAATGAGCTAAACCTAGTTTCAAATTGATAACAAGGTTTATAGACCGTAAACTATAGTTTACATACCGTAAACTATAGTTAACGATTCGTTAAGTCTAGCTTTCATCTGTAAAACTATATTTAACGGTTGTTAACTATAGTTTACGAATGATAATCTAAGTTTATCTGTAATAAGCGTTAACAATAGATTTTGTTGATAAACAAAGATTCACGTTTGTAAACTATAGTTTATTTACAATCGTAAACTATAGTTAAGAGTTGTTAATCATAGTTTCACAAATCGTGAAACTATATTTATCAGATTGTTAACTATAGTTAACGGTTTGTAAACTATAGTTTACAAATCGTGAAACTGTATTTATCAGATAATCTATGTTTTGCAATCGCAAATGATTGTTTTCGGTGTTAAGTATAGTTTACGGTTGTGAAACATAGATTATCGCGTTAACTATAGTTTACAGATGTAAAATATAGATTAACGTCGTTAACTATAGTTTACAGTCCGTTAACTATAGTTTACAACCGATAAACCTAGTTTATCGATTGTGAAACTATGATTATCTCATTTTTGTGAATTTGGCGTGCCATAAATATGCCCACAAGGGCCCTGATCTGGAATATCCTATTCTATTCTATACTACTTTCAACCAAGATATGTACGTGCCTTCATTATACTTTATCAATAAATTCACGACATGACACACAGGGGGTGACAAATATAGAATTGCCGGCCGGTTAACAGCTCTATTCCGCAAAAATACTAAATTATCCGGGGGGGGGGCACATTCGGTCCCTCCATGCTGGCTCGGTTCCTACAGCCAAGAGAAGTAAAATGTTCTTACTAAGGATGCTTACGGCAACCGGGTTTTCGGTCGGAACGATGAAATCCTTTGGATTGATTGTTTGTTTTTTAACGTCCTTCTCGAGAATTTTTCACTCATATGGAGACGCCATCACTTGCCGGTGGAGAGCTACAAATTTTTTCCTATGCTCGGCACTTAGGGCCATTGAGCAGTGAGGGATCTTTTTCGTGCCAGTACCTACTCGGTTTATACGGTCGCATCCGAAGGACCGGTCTCCACGTCCCACAGTGGGATTCGAACTAGCGACGTAAGAATTGACTCCGTACTTCGCAACTCTAGAGCAGATGCTCTGACCACTGCGCCACGCGCCGCGGGCGAAATCCTTTGGAAAGTCTATAATAGGTTGGTCAAAAAAATATCAACTGTGTAAATTTGTGTGCGTTTTCCTTGAAATTCATCTTTAAAAATGAATTCTGAACGTTTTTCTCATATACGCAGTATGTAAGCTGGCTTAGAAATATTTAAGAAAATCTGATATGAGATGGGGGAGGGAGGGGATTGGTCAGTTTGTGAAGTGATAATTTCCCTGTAAAAATTGTGTTGTAACCTAGCTTATTCTGTCAAAAGTATAATTTCCACTATTGGACACAGCTTTTCTGGGAGAAAACAAATGCTTTTACGCATTTTACAATTTCATTTCTACTTCTGTTCAATCTAGATACATTTCCTCTTCCGCTAGCTAGGTAAAAACTGTTTTGTGCAAACTATCAGACCTAATGTGATTTTTTTCCCCCACTTTTCAGAGTCGCATTTATTTCAAATAATTTGAAATAAGGTTGTGGAATCTATGTAATGTGTAATGAAAAGCCTCAGACGAGACTGCTGCTCTCCTGGGAATTGGAAAATATCAAAATTCGTATCTTATTACCATCATGATAAAATTATCTATTCATTATATTTAAAAACCACTCTGATTCAGATATATGTGAAGATCCAACTGGCTATATTCTCATGAAGCAAACCAATCAACTTTTTATCAGGCCTTAAGGATTGGAATAGAAAGTATGCCATAAATTGCACAATATACTGTTCTTCTGCAATAAAGTGATATTAGGAGGACACTAAATCCATTTTGTATCTGGATACAGACAGTTGATGTGTGATCGAAACCTCAAAGGAAACATTACAGATACATTGTATTATAGAAAGCAATCTCCAACTTCCTGATTATTGGAATCAGTTTCTTTTATTATACTTCAGTTTCATTTTTAAGAAAATCACAGGGCAATATTTGTATTGAAACCATACCTTCTTCTTTGAAGTTAACAACAGCATTATAAAAATATTCATAGACTTCAGCAAGAGAATATTTCAAGGCTAAAATTTAAGATGAAACATATTTTTAAAAATATTAAATACAATACAGAAGTTTTAATGCTTTCAATTTTAAATCTTTCTAATTGTTCTTTCCTATTTCACCACCGACAAATCGTACATACAATAATAAATGTATCCAAGGAATCTGCTAATAATAAAAGTGAACACAACTTTAGAAAGATATGTTTAATTCATAAATATTTTGTTCATCACAGGTCATTTTATATCACATTAATAGAGATAGGGTTCTTTAGTCATTTAACTGAACATCAAAACAAATCAAATAGAATGTCAACATAACAAGACATTTATAAAATGTCACAAACAGTTCTAAGCTTAAAACTCTGGATTTCCAAATCCAACTTCCTGCTGCACATGCTGTATTTCTGCTAGCAAATCATAGTCAGATAGATTCAACTGCAATTAAAAAAAACTCATATTAAAATCCACTTCAAACAATTTACATATAAATCTATAATTCAAGTTTTGAGAAAAATCTTTTCATTCCATAACGTTTTT